CCACACAGTTCAAAATCCAAAAGTCACAAGAGTATAGAGTGAAAAGTCTCTCTTTTACCTCTGTTCTCCCGTGGCCCAACACCACTCCCCTATAGAAACTGACTCAATTAGTTTTGTGACTATCCTTATTTTACCCACATTTTGTGGCTAACAGTGAGTAGGATTCTAAAACAGCTTTCTAAATTGAGAATAAACCTCACCTTGTCCCTGTGGCAACCTGTGCTTCTGGAATACACCTTGTTCTACAAAACTTTCATGAATCAGAAGTTCAGATTTTATTTTACTGTAGTGTGAGCTGTTCTTAAGGAAAAAAAGAGTGGGAAAAACAACTAGAATAGACACGAACATATGTCTTTTTTTTTAAGTGTTAATACTTTAACAGAATTTCATGCCATCAAACTAATCTCTCCCAAACAAGGTTACACTGTTAAGTCTTAAAAATCCCTATGGAAACTATACCTGGTTCTATCGAGATTACAAAATCATAGCCTTACTAAGTGCTCTGTCATCTTTTCTTATATATATCTTATTATATATATATATATAAAATTAAAGTTTCAATTACATATATATGATTGAAACTTCACAACAATCACAATAAACTAAGTACATTCTACTGATGAAGAAATCAAAGAACAGGCAAATTTTCAAATTTGGGCTGGGGCTCCAAACCCCTCACTCTTAATCTGTATGAGATTCACTACCCTTTCTGATAAAGAATAGCCAAAAGAAAGCGTATGACAATATTTTTTGTACTTCCGCCAAGATAGAGGTGTATGTGGAAGCACTGCGCCTTCTCACACAACCAAGTTTAAAAACAACAAAGTTTTGGCAACAAAAACACAGCCAAACCACAGAAAATCGAACTACATGGATGTCTGACCACAACGAACCCTTTAGCCAAACTGGTAAGAGGGGCAGAGCCAGCAGCAGAGTGGGGTCGGGCAGGAAAGATCCACCAGACCGACCTGGGCGTGCACCCCAGGTGCACTGGCAGCTGTGGGCGGATCCCAGGTGTGGAGAAGCGGGTGGACCCACTGAGGGCTGACTGTGGTCACACATTTGCACACAGATAAACTGGATAAGGAGCTAGCGGTGGTGAGACGGACCACGCAGGCCCCTGTGGCGGAAAGTAGCAGAGAGAACCACCATTGTCCCTCTCTGATCCCGCCCCCACATAAGCGTCACAAAACAGCGACCAGGGTAGCCCCGCCCTGGTGAACAACTAAGGCTCTCCTTCTCACACGTAACAGGCACGAACAGATCAAAACATGGCTCAAGAACAACTCAGAGCTCCAGAGCTGATAAATCTAAGCGATGAAGAAATAGCCAAACTTTCAGATGCACAGTTCAAAACACTGGTGATCAGGATGCTCACAGAACTGGTTGATTTTATTCACAAATTAGAGGAACAGATGAAGGCTAAACTAATTGAAATGAATGGAAATGCACAGGAAACCAACAGTAATGGAAAGGAAACTGGGACTCAAATCAATGGAGTGGACCAGAAAGAGGAAAAAAATGACCAAACAGAAAAGGATGAAGAAACAGGAATTCAAAAAAAATGAGGAGAGGCTTAGGAACCTCCAGAACATCATTAAACGTTCCAACATCCGAATTATAGGGGTACCAGAAAGGGAAGAGGAACAGCCATGAGTGGAAAACTTATTCGAACAAATAATAAAAGAGAATTTCCCCAATCTGGTAAAGGAAATAGACTTCCAGGAAATCCAGGAAGCTCAGAGAGTCCCAAAAAAGTTGAACCCAAGAAGGAACACACCAAGGCACATCATAATTATATTAGCCAAAATTAAAATAAAGGAGAGAATTCTAGAAGCAGCAAGAGGTAAGGGGACAGTCACCTACAAAGGAGTCCCCATCAGACCGTCATCGGATTTCTCAAAAGAGACCTTACAGGCAAGAAGGGGCTGGAAAGAAGTATTCCAAGTCATGAAATCCAAAGATCTACATCCAAGATTGATCTATCCAGCAAAGCTTTCATTTAGAATGGAAGGACAGATAAAGGGCTTCTCAGATAAGATCAAATTCAAGGAGTTCATCATCACTAAGCCCTTATTATATGAAATGTTAAAGGAACTTACCTAAGAAAAAGAAGATAAAAAAGATGAACAGAAAGGACAGCAAACTCACAGTTATTAACAACCACACCTAAAACAAAAGCAAACTAAGAGGACAGCTAGATCAGGAGCAGAACCATTGAAATGAAGATCACATGGAGGGTTAGCAACAGGGGAGTGGGAGAAGGAGAAGGGGGGAGAAGGTACAGAAAATAAGTAGCATAGATGGTAGGTAGAAAATAGATAGGGGGGAGGGCAAGAATAGTATGGGAAATATAGAATCTAAAGAACTTGAGACACGTTGTCATAAACTAAAGGGGGGAATGGTGGGGGAGGGGGTGTGCAGGGTGGAGGGAAATGAAGAGAAGAAATAGAACTGTAATGGCATAATCAATAAAATATATTTTAAAAGATAAAAAAATATTTTTTGTTTGTATAGTTGTTTACTCAAAATTTTTCATTCCCAAATTGTAGAATCCATCAAAATTACCCATGTTATTTAAGTCCAGACACCCAGGGCTCAGCACTGACCTAAAGAATTAGAATCTCAGGGCCCTAAGAACACTTATTTTAAGCAGCACTTAGAATCACAGGCTGATGATTCTTAAGCAGGTGTTTTGTAACACACTCTGACAAATGTCATACCTGTGACTGTTTTCCAAAGTTAGCTGCAGCTGTATCTCCCATCACACACTCTGCTATTTTCTAGAATCTTGCCACTCCACTTTCACAAGATGGAGTCTATGCCTCCTGCTTTTGAAATTGGGTGAACTTTTGTAACTTCATTGACTGGTAGATTTTTGAGGGAGTGATGCTATGTAACTTACAAGGCTAGGCCCAAAAGCTGATTCAGCTTCTGCTTCTGCTAGCTAGAACACTCAATCTTGGAACTCAGCCACCATGCAGTGAGGAAGCCCAAGCTGCCCCAGGGAGAGGCCTACTTGGAGAGGAACTAACAGCCAGCACCAACTTGCCAGCTATGTGAGCCATATTGGAAGTGGAGGCTGCCCAAACTGACACAGCATGGAGTGGAGACATGCCTTCCCTGCCAAGTCCTGACCAAATTGCAGATGCAAGCACTAAATTAATGATCATTGTCATTTTAAGCACTAAGTTTGTTAGGGAATAATACACTTCTTCCTTTTTTTCATCCTCATCCAAGAACATGCTTATTGAGAGAGAGATGAAGGGATGAAGAAAAGAGAGGGAGAGGAACATTAATGTGAGAGAGAAACAATGATTGGTTGCCTTTCCTAGGTGCTCCAATTGCGGACCCAAACCACAATCTAGGCATATGGCCTGACCTAGAATCAAACCCATGTTTCGGTGTGTGGAACAATGCCCAACGGAGCCACATGGGCCAGGGCGCAATAATGCACTTCTAACCCAGTAGTCACTCTACCTTTCTTCCTATCAGGGTAAATTCTCCTGGGCCCTCTGTAAATATTCTGAAATATCCTTGTGCAAAGTCATTTGCTTTCCCAGATTTTTCTAATCACAGAACTACACAGTTCAGACTTTTGGCTATTTGAAGCTCTCATTGTTACCTTCGAGGTTTGGTTTCTCATCTAAAAAGCACTGATAATAAGAAAGCCTACCTTAAATACTTTATAATTGAAATAATCCATGTAATCATTTCGCATTATGCCCAGAAAATTTTTTCTCCTATTATTCTTACTAGGTTTCTTGCATTCATATTCCTCATTTTTTAAATGTACTTTTTTCCCTTATAGCTTAATGCCATCTCACAGGCTACTTTCTGACTCTTACCTCATCCTTTAGGACTCCACTTCTCCGTTGGGAAGCCTTCTCTGACTTCTCAAGCAATTAATGCCTCTCTGTCCTCAAACAGCACCTTGGAAGAACCTCTATTATAGCTCTTAACACACGGGATTGTAATTGTTTATCTCTCTTTTCCACTATACTCTTAAGTTCCCGGAAGGCAGAGTCAGAGTCTTTATATTCTCATTCTCTAACATTGCATCTGGCACATCTTCATTCATTCACTGTGTTTATACTACTGTGCTAGGAAACACTGGTTTAAATGTTAAGGGTCTGTTTTGGCAGGCCTGCTTGAGGACAAAACAGCTCCACTTTCTTCTGCATAACTTTGGATAATTGTCTCCGAGCTTCATTTGTGAGGTAAAGACCACATCTTAAGACTGCTGTGAAGACGAAGTAAAATATCTGCAAAAACCCCATCACATAGCAATCAATCATCTGGATGTCAAGGAATGCTTCCCCAACAAGCCCATATTTGGCCATCATCACTCTAATCCTTTTAGGGCCCCTGCTGGCTAAGGGTAATCCCGCTAAGGAATTACTCTGAGCTCTCTAATCCTCTGATTGGTCTTTCCTCTAGCTAGCAACCCTGCGTCTCAACCACTAGGTCCAGGCGTTCAGAAGCCACTCTTCTTTCCTGCTTCCAACTCTCTCCAAACCCTTGTTTTCAGCCGTTTCCAGATTAAGAAGTGTGACAAACAGTCCCGATTTAAGCAAACTCTGATCATCAAAACTCTCTGGCTAGGGTTTTCCCGGGTAACTTGCGAGACCCAATTAAAAGCTTTGCTACCAAGCTTTCGTCTTCCCCTTCTGGTAAGGAAGGAGACAGCATTTCAACTTGACCTACAGTCATTCGTTCCCTGAAGCATCAGCCCCTGCCGCGAGCGATCCAAGAACGTTGAATGTACGAACTAACAAACCAACGAATGGGCTACTTCGGTGGCCTTGTTACCTCCCCTCTGGCGAGGGCGTGGCCGCGGATTGGAGGCCTGCGGGGCGCCGGCTGCCTCACCAGCTTACGTCACGACCGGTCACTAGAGCCAGGGCTCCGCCCCGCCTTCCCTAAGTTCACGCCCCGTCGCATTGCGTCACTTCCGCCACCTCGGGCCGAAGCAGGGCGGGACCACTGGGGCGGGGGTGAGGTCTGAGGGAAACCCTCTCGCGTCAGCTCCGGAGCAGGGACTACATTTCCCGAGGGGCTTCGGCGGCAGGGGCGGCGGGCGCGGCAACGTTCCCGGAAGTGGAGCCTGGGACTTCCACTCGTGCGTGAGCTGAGCGGAGCCGGAGACTACACCGGAGGCCGAACTTGGGATCTGACAAGATGGCCGGGCTGCCCCGCAGGATCATCAAGGTAACCGCCCAGGCCGGCCTCAGGCTCCCTCCTGTGCTCTTTCCCGCTCGGCGGATCGGGCGGTTCAGCCTCTCGCTTCCTCCGACCCGCGCTAGGAGGCCGGAGGCAGCACGCAGAGGGTCTGGCCACGGCGGCGAGGGAAGTCTGGCGCTGGGGAGGGGGCGCGTGGATACTTCCGGCCGCGGTAGGGCAGCCAGGCGGCTGAGACCCTGGGCTTCCAGGTCCCCCTGAGAGCGGGGACGGTCTGGTCCGCGCCTTGGTGGAGGGTGGGGTTGCGGGGTTTTGGTCTTGGGCGCGGGCCTCCGCGGTGTTTCAGACCACCCACGGGCGGAGTGCGCGGGCGCGCGGGAATCACGACGGGGCTCGGACTCTGGGCGGGGGTTGTGGCCTGACACGGTCTCTCGGTCTCGGATCCTCCTCTCGGTCCGGGTGGGAGCGCTGGGTGCGACAGCTCCAGCTTCAGAATGAATGAACCGGGAGGGTTGAGGCCGGGCCAGGCCCTGCACCTTGGGAGGCCCGCGCATCCTGTCGCCGTCCGTACATGCTTACCCTTGGCCTCCAGGATCCGAGGACCCGGGGGCATTGCGCTCGACTGCTCTAGCTTCCGCGATCTCTTTTAAAAATACGTTTTCTCCCGTTATCTCCGCGAAGTGATTTTACTCTGGTTTGCAACTCAGCTTTCTGTTTAGAGGAAGTAGTTTAATACAGGACTGGGGGGCGCAGGAATGGGGGACCTTGTGAAATCTTTCGGCTTTCGATTTTGTGTGCTTTAATTATTGTACGGTTCTTCGGCTCTTTATTAATACTGTACTCTGACAAGTACATATGGAACCATGAAAAATCCAGAATCTTGGTTTTGTAAATTCTTTATCTTCAAAATCGTCAAGTCTTCGGATGTGAAATGCTGCTTGCAACTCAAAAACAAAACCTTAATTTTTTTTTTGTCAGTTTTAATGAAGAAAATGAGCTGAATTTCTGTGTTGTTGAATACAGGGTGGGGCAAAAGTAGGTTTATAGTTGTGACTACGCAAAAGTTTATTATTAATTATTGTATTTTCCATACGAACAGCTGTAAGCCTACTTTTGCCCCATCCTGTTTGTGAGTTAAGGTGATTGATTAAGTTGCAGCATCACTTTGCATGATACAACCTCAACGTGTATTTATTCTAGTTTGTTTCAAAGTTTGGGAGAGACACATACTAAGTGAAAGACCTGTTGAAGGATGATGTATTCGGTAGTTGTTCGTGTAATTGCAGTTAAATATATCTGAGATGGAGGGGCGTATCTCTGACCTAAAGGTCCTTGATTAGAGAAACAGGACAGTTTATGAGGTAGAAATTCTGAGTCTAATCATGTGAACCTTCATAGTGTGAAATTTGTTGTACTGTATTACAGATTGGTCTCTGACTTTGTTCAAGGAAGTTTAATTGTTTTATGCATTGGAAGGGCTTTGCAATGTGGCGTTAGTTGCAATGTAGTCACATGGCTCCATTGGTTATGTTTATTGAGGCCCCAGTTGAAAATTAGGGGTGGAGGAGAAAGCAGTACAGTAAATAGACTGAAATAATTATTTATTGTTATTCAGGTTATCAGCTAAGTAGATAATATAAAAAGTTGCCTATTCTCTGACAACCACAATACAAGTTTCTTCATGAAATACAATGGTTATGGTGGTGAGAGTAATAACTCTACTGTCTTGAATGGTAGGAACACATACTACCTTTCATTGGACAACTATGATATATTGCTGTCCACTTAAAGTTGCCATTATTTATGTTTGCAGAATTCATCAACCATTTGATACTTGCAGAAATCTTGTGAAGTGGGCAATATGTTTTATTGTCTATAAACCCGCTGAAATGACTTTTCTAGGGTCTTAAACTTGGCAAGAGGAAGAATTTGAATCTTGACTCAGTATGATCTTCCTCAGTCTCTTGTTATTGTGAAATGAAATAATATATGTAAAGGTACTTTGAGGCCTCTAAATATACAAATATAAGAACTATTATTCACCCAGTTGGATTCCCATGTTCAATCCAGGAGCAAATTCTGTAGGCTTTACTTTCAAAATATATCCTGAATTAGACCAATTTTCCCATTTTTGAAACCGTTGTTCAGTTCCATTATTTGTTGCTTTGGCCTACTACATTTAAAAATACAGACATGGCACTCATTCCCTGCCCAGAACTTCACAAAGGTTTTCCATCACATTTAGAATAAAATCTTGACACCCTCTCCCCCCTTTCCCATCCCCATCTGCAAGATCTTTCATGCAACTGGGATCTGCCTGCCTCTGAGATTATAACCTGCACGTCTCTCCTTGGGTTGCACCAGTCACAGGGTTTTCCCTCTGGTTATTGCATTGCTGTGTCATATTGTTCAGTTCTTGGCTTACATGTCATGTCCTCCTAAATGTTTGCCATAAGTTTCCTAAAAAACAGACAGTTTCCCTCTCCCCCTCACCCTAGTTTATCTTCATCCTCATTCCCCTCTCAGTTGTCTAGTATTTATCATTACTCCAAGTTACATTATTTACTTTTTGGCTCTACTCCTACTAAAGCTCCGTTAAGGCCAGGACTCTTGAATGATTTGGGCATTCCTCTAATGCCTAGAATATGTAGTAGGCACTGGTATATTGGTCAAATGAATGGATGTGCTTCAATTTCTTTGCAAGAAAGTTTTAGGAAATGTATTCTATATTATAATTTTACATGTTACTGCTTAGTAGATTGCATCTGAACTGATTACTGAGCTAAAAGTCAGCCTCTAATTCCACCCATAAATTCATTAATAAACAAAACAAGTCAGTCTTTCATTTTGTTGCTTTAGGAATACATAGACTACAACATTTGAAAGATTCTAAAGGTACATAGAAGAAAATGCAAGAGTCTCATCTGTCCTTCAGCATTCCAGTGCTCCTCCCGAGACAACCATTGTTGTATATCTTCTAGAAAGACCAGAGAGACTTAGTGGAACCTAGTGGTTAGATCTTAATGTAATTAATTGCTTATTGATAATTTTTAGATTATTCCCAAAATTTTGCTACACAAACAGTGCCGAAATGAATAGTCATATATAGTGGTATCTTGCACATGTGTGAATTAATACCGAATTTTGGCGGTTCTGTGTTCAGCGGGAAGTTTTAGAATTTTATTTTTTCTCTTTTCCCTCCAGGGCCAAAGCTCATTTGGCCCCTAAAAGTGACAGCAATTAAAGCTTAAAGTCCTATAGGTTAAAGGTTACTTAAAATAAGAGATCCTCCCTAATCCCTCTGTTACAAAGAAGAACCAGATTATTTTGGGAACACATAAATGAGATTGGTAGTTGTGGCTTTGGTCAAAAACAAATTTATTTTAGCTTTATATGTTGTGTTGACAGTGACATTCCTTTGTCGACTCAAAATTAATCATGAAAACAATGAAATACAACCTTAGGAAACCATAGTTAACTTCCTGAAGGAGTTGACTTACTTGATTAAAACCTAGTAAACTAATCTGAGATTAGAATTTCATCATTTTTCCAAAAAATTTTCTGTTGTGAGGTTTAGTATCAAATTCTTAAAAATGTGATAGGATCTGATTTTGCATTAAGACTTGCGTTGTTTATTTTTTTACTTTAATAATTTTGATTTTAAAAATACAGATAGTATTATTTTTCCATTCACTATTTAAAAGTTATTCATTTAATATATGCATTCTAGTACACAAGGTAGTTTTTAGTAAGAAAAGTGATTTAGGAAACAGCCTTTTTTAAGCCCTGAAAAATCTTTGGCTGATAATGTATCCCCTTCCACCCCCATTTTAAAAAAGGCATGAAAAACTTATTATGATGAAGGTGGATAACCTTTTTATAAATTGTGGTTAAAACATCCTTAGGAAACAAGTAAACTCCTAGTAAAAATTTGACTAGGAACAGTGTGGTTCTTAGCTCTTTTGGTTGTCCCAATTGAGTTTCGTGACCTTCCTAGGACAATAAACAATGTTTTTTGGCAAATAACTTCTGGAGATTCAGGTTCTTGACTAGCTTATTTGTGAATTCCCTCTGTCTCCATGGATTCCAGATTAAGAATCCCTAGACTACTTTTGGTAATTAAATTTTCAGGCTGTAAGGATAATGTTTAATATACTACTTAAGGTTTGATTATGAAATGTGGGCATAATTGAAAATAAGGTAAAAACAGTAGTCAGTTGAGTGTCAGGCACTTTTTTCAGTTCATGTTGATCAATTTTCACAATAGAAACTGAGTTTTGTCATTATCAAGCACTTTCTGAGTATCCACCATGCTAAATGATGATGACATCAGAAATGTTATGTATTTATTTTAATGGAAGTTCTGAGGTTTTTTTTTGCACTTGTGACCATGTACAGCCATGACATTTTAAAAAAGGAAAGAACACCTTCCTTTTTTTTCCCTCTCTCTGATGCCTCTGTAGGCCAAAGAAGTTGGACCACAGGAGTCCCAGCCTGCAAGTCAGTACTTTTGCTTTTTCCCTTATACCTCATAATTTGGTTTACTCATGGATAAATGGGTTTAAGAAGAAAATAATTTAGTTTTGCTAAATTTCAAGTTTTGCTAAATTACTTGCTATAGTTTCAAGTAGTGTGGATTCTGAACATACATTTAAATCTGTTGTTGTTAGTTATGGATGTATATGCTACCAGAAATGAGAAAATGAGGTTAGCATCCAGCTGGGGCTTTGGACATTACAATCGTAGCCATCACAGTTGTAATGGGTTTTTAAATTTGAAGAGGAGGTAGAGTGAGTTTTGGGCAAAAGAAATAGCAGATATATAAAAGCTAGAAGGAGAGAGAGAGAATTAATGAATATGTGTGAGAATATATATGAATACACAGCATATTCAAGAAGTCCTGTGTGTATGGTGCATAGTATATCATTATTAGGGTCTCATCAAGAACTACTACTAACTTCAGAGAGTTGGCATCAAGCACTGTTGGGCAAAGTATTGTTGCTTTTTGAATTGTTAAATTAATACTTAGT